AGTGCTCAGGGGAACAGGGACTCCCCCAGTGCCTGCTGGTCCCCTCTGACTAGTTTGTAATGGGCCACTAGATCCCCCCCTCAGCCTTCTCTTGTGGAGGCTGAACAGGTTCAAGTCCCATAGCCTGTCTTTGTAGGGCCTGCCCTGCTGCCCCCTGATCATAAAAGCTGTCACTTAAAGTCCTGGATATAAAGATTTTGTGTTTGCCTTCTGGAAACCAGCAATATACTTCACATCAAGAAAGCCACCAAAGAGTTTGGAAAGTTCTGTTGTCTGTTTGTACCTTAGCAGATTGACTTGAGCCAAAAGGAAGCAATAAAGAAGAAAAGGTGATGGGGCATACATTAACATGTAAAGTTTCTAGTTATGGTTTTAATATGAAAAGCTGCATAGGAAATCTTACTCCTCCTTTCATGTATATACTTTCAGAGAGCTACAGGTACAATCCATCTGAGTTAGATGATCTGAATAAACATATGATGTATTTTCTGTTTCCCAGAGCCGATGACAATGGGAAAATTGCACAAAGAAGTTGGTCAGCTAATTGTTCAGTCTGCAGAAGATCCAGATAAATCAGACAGTCAAGTCATTAAGGTTAATCTTTTTTTTAATTATGTTTACATTATTTTTACCACTAACATTTTTGTTACATTTATTCTCTCTCTTTCTAAATTTAAATTGCAGGATTCTCTTCTTTCTCCCCCAGGCTCAGTAGCTCTGTCACAGTATCTGGTTTATAAATACTACTGTACATTGACATAGAATAACACTACTAGGAAAGTTAGTTATAATAGTATGAATATTAACTAAAGCGTAGTGTGTTGGAACACTGTGCCACTGCAGGAAATGTCAGGCATTCTTTCTATATATTAAACTTGAAGTAACAAGATACTGTAACTGTGTCAGATTTTATGATCTCCTGTTTGCTTCACTTGCAGCGTATGCTTCTTCAAAATTTAAAGATTCACCTTTAAAGTGTTGCTCTTTTGATTTCTTCACACACCATGAATTTAGTTTTCAGAAAAAAACGTACAGCCCTGTAAAGTCCTGAGCACTGTACTGTCTCTGAATTAAATATTTTGCCATTTCACAGAAACAAATTGTTTTTCTTATTTAAAAAATGGCATTTTGATATTATCAACCAGTTCTTTTCCCGGCATTTTATTTGTAAATTATCGATTTATACAATTAAAACATTGTCCTAGCATTGTATTCACCCCCCCACCCCCACCCCTTCTCTTTGTGTTTTTAAGGATATTTCATTGAAGACAAAAGAAATCTTGAATACTCTGGCATCATTTACTGAAGCTTCTGATGATGGTGAGAAACCAACACTTAATGTCAAAGCTCTAAAACAAAAGCGATTTCCACCCGCTACAGAAAACTTTCTTTATCATTTAGCAGCTGCTGAACAAATGCTTAAGATATGACTGTCGGTGTACTTCAGTGTTACGGACCAATACAAAACAGTTCTCTTTACCATACTACTATGAATATCCAATAATTATGTAAGAATATTAAAGATATCAAATGTTATATTTTTAATGATGTAATGCAAAATGTAGATGATCAACCTGGAATGTTATGGATGTGCATTTGGAAATACTTCCAGTCTTTCTGGTTTTTTTTCTGACAATAACAATTTACATAGAAGGGGCAAATAGTGTAAAGCACAAGTAGGAATGGGGCACTTGACTCTCGTGCCTTTTGAGCCTTTCTCTTTATGAGAGGAGGGGAATGGAAATGTTAGAACATAACATTGGATGTCCTGGTTTAAATAAATGAAATGGGATAGTTTCAGCCCAACAGACACAACTGGAAAATATCTAAAACTGTAAAATTATACCCATTTGTCTTCTTTTGCATAGTCATAAAGTGATAGTTTATTTCAGTCAGCAGTCTGAAACTAACTTTTCTTTATTCTTTCTGAAAGAATTTAGGGTTTTGGGGGTGCTTTTTTTTTTAAATGGTGAGACCTACTTTCTGAGCCAAACATCCAGTGTTTCTGCAGAAATGTCCACAAAGCCTGTCAAAAGGTTCTGCAGTAGCACTTTGTTATATTCAAAATATAACTTTTTTTTCCCTGTCCTTTGTACATATGAGCTATAGCATGTGGTTTTACATAGAGATTTTATACTTATGATTAAAACTTTAGTAATCCATATTTACACTGTTAAAGAACCGAATGTTTGTTATCCTGAAACTGTTAAAGCTCATCACTAACTATGTACAAGCAATATTCCTTGAAAAACGTCTGTTTACATATAAATTAAGGAAATCTATTTTAGATTATGGATAAGGAAGTAGGCATTTATAGATCAAATGGCTACTTATTACAGCTAAAAAATCTGAAGGGTACTACCTTTTATAATCCCCTATTTTCAGGGGTGTTTAATTCTACTCTGTTCACGCTGGATGAAAACTTTTTAGTTTGTCTGAATGCAGCTGTTTTTGTCTCTCTAAGAACTGCACTTCGACTGTATTTGCAGATCAGTGCTCCAGATCTTTTTCATTTATAGACTTTAAAGGCTGGAGGGGCTGTTGTTCATGGTTTTTGTTTTTTAAAACACTCCTTTAGTATTGCTGCTTTTGTTTTCAGATGTTTTTAATGGTCCAAAATTCAACACTTAAGATACGTAGAAGGAAATGCATTTAAGGCCTGATCTAAAGTCCCTCAAAATCAGTACGAGTCTTTGAGTTGATTTGAATATATTTTGGATCAGATCTTTAACATTGCAGTAGTTATCATACAGTTGCCTGCCTGAAATAATTTACACGACTTCTTAAAAGTTCTTCAATGAGCCTTATGTAAAATAGCATGTGGTTTTGAATCATCACAAAAAAAATCAGTTGCAAATTATTATATTTTGTGTTTGTTTAGGTGATTTTCTTGTTAAATATTTCTTTACTGTTTGTCCCAGACATTTCATTCTAAGAGTTTTTGTAAGAAAACAAATGAAACTTAAATTTGCACTTCAGGAATTATACACCTAGCACAGATATGCCTATAAATAATTATGATTCTATTTGTCCTGAGCTCTTGCCCTGTGTATTTCACATTGATTGTGCTTGATTAGCCTTGGTCATCAAAAGTCATAGGCTTCGTCTCTTATGTTACAACAAAATGGTAATATTTAGTATTTGGTAGCTTAAAGCATTGAAACATTATAAATACCTAGGTCAAAAAAATAGAATTTATTTTTATTTATATTGTATGCACAGTGAGATGGCTTAAGCATGTTCTTGGGGTAGGTGGGAGATAGTTTTGATTCAGCGTGCAAAACTGGAGTTCTCTTCTTTCCCCAGATGATACAAATGTTTGTAGGAGAAAAGGGTCACTGGCCTTGTGTTGAAGTCCTGTATCACCTGCACTTCTACAGCCTCTTTTCCAGGAATAGCAAAGAAGGGCCAGTCTAGTAATAATCAGATTGTTCTGCCAACTTCTGAAGGATCACATGCTGATATTTTCTCTCCAATATCACTTATTTTTTGTGTTTCAAGAAGACAAACTGTACCTAATGGCCAGTGCCTCTCTTCCAAGTGAAGTCTTGACACGTACAGATTTCACAGTGGTTCAAAAGGGGATTTTGAATACAGCTGGTCAAGTTAGCAACCCTGTACTCATCCAGTTCTGCACTGAAATATAACAGCGTGAGATACCATATTAGTTCTGGTTTCCAGCCTGTTCTTGATATGTTCAGTCAACGTATTTTGCAACTGTTAGCTCTGGAAACAGTCTTTGTATGAAGCTGTATCCTTTATTATTCATTTAGTGGTAAAGATTGCACAGGTTAAATTCTCAGTTACGCCTGCTCAGCTGTATTGCCTTTAAGGGTTGTGTAAGTAGGGAGAAGAGGTCTTACAGTTGAAATGTGCTAATGCTGATGCCAAAGTCAGACCAGGATCCAACTCCCTTATAACTGTATTAAATCTGTTGTGTACCCAGGAGGTTAAATCAGTAAAAACATATGCAAAATAAAGTGAATCCAAATGTGAAGGGAATCTGTTGAATGAAATGGTGCCCTTTTCTAGACATTTCTTGCACCCAAGAACACCTTAAAGTGGCAAGTGCTCTTCTCCTTCTCCCCTGGCTCCTTGGGGCTGGTGTATGGTTGGAACTAACCTAACTTTCAGTTAAGAATGCGCAGTGTGTTTTTTGTTGCTTTTTCTTGGGAGGGAGGGGAAGTTCCCAAATAATTATACCAGGGCAAACCCTGAAAAGTGCTAACACTGCAGTAGCCTCTTGCTGTAAGGGAAAGGGAATAAACTGTACTGATGAACAGCACCCATACAAGGGGCTGTACCCATGTACAACATGCACATAGAGTGGGCTGTGGCCCCTGTGGAGATAAGTGGCTTTATTACACACAGACCCAGACACAGGCAGGGGCAAATTGGGTGGCTGCCTGCAGCCTGGACAGAAAGGGGGCTGGAAAATGGAAAGAAAAAAAATCACAATTGCAAAAAAAAAGTTTTAATATTGTGCATATATGGGACTGTAACAGGGAATGTCAGCCCTGTTACTAGAAAGCAGGCCCAAACCTTCTGGGCCTGGAGAACTGGTGTGGAAGGGGTTAATCGCTGGGCTGGGCCATCTAGTCAGCTGACTGGAAGAGGAAGGACTATAAGAACCCAGGGCAGTAGGGAGGCAGGCAGCTGAAGGGGAGGGAGTGCATCCCAAAGCTCCAGGGAGAAGCTGGGCGCGTGGTCCAAAGGCTGGAAGAGGGAACCGTGGAAACCTGGCAAGATAACAGACACCCCATGAGCCAACAGATGGGATCTGAAACAAGAACGCGGTGTAAATGTAAGAGGACATAATCACTTGGGTTTTTTTTATTATCATTTTATTGAGTGCAGTTATGAGACTCGGATGGGACTGTCCATATTTCTTGTTTGATTATTGAACACTGGTGGTTTGGGAGAGGCTATTAGAGGATGGAGGAGGCCTCATTTTTGGGGCCCCCTATGGAATGGGTATCCCAGTGCCAGTGAAGGCGGGAAAGTTGGGTATCTCCAGAATGAATTTAGCAGAGGTAGCCTTCATTTGGACTCCTGGTGCATGTTGTATCATGCAATCTGTAATTGCATCATCCCATATTGTCTTTCCACATTCTTTGTTCATTTAGTGCCCGGGGTTGACTTACTCTGGGACTGATTTAGCGTTGCATAGTGATTCAGACTTGACTGTAGGAACCTTTGCTTCATTCATTGCAGAGGTGGGAAGCTGTGTGTATTAAGTGAGGTAGGAGCATGTTATGTGGTGCCCCGGTGATCCCCTTCTCTGCTATTTCCTACCAGCTGGGCTCTAGTCTTCCTCCTTGTTTCCTGGTCCATCTGAGAGTCCAATATTTCCAGCTTTTTGTCCTTGCTTGTTTTACCAAGATTATCCCCATTCCTCCGTTGTCCCTGCCACCATCTAAGTCAGGGGTGGGCAATTATTTTGGGCAGAGGGCCGCTTACTGAGTTTTTGGCAAGCCATCAAGGGCTGCATGATGGGCAGCCACAGGCAGATAAATATTAATTTCTAAATTTTTTAGGGGCCCTGTGGGCTGGACAGAATGGCCTGACAGGCCGCATTTGGCCCCTGGGCCACATTTTGCCCACCCCGATCTA